ACTGCAGCGCAGCTACTGGGACCTCTGCCCTATATGGCGCCCGACCTCCCCTCGGGTGGTAGTACCCTTTGTAGTACACACCACCGAATGGGTCATAAAACGCCCCCAGCGTATCCCAAAACCCATGGACATCCTGTATCACAGGGGCATGCACCACGGGAGCTGGTCTTTTGGGCATTTCATGGGGCACCTGAGGTCGGCCTTGCTCCATTTCGAGCTGCTGTGATCGGCGCTGCTGGTATCCTGGACCAGGCTTCCTAGGCAGATACTTGATGCCACTGGGTTTCTGTCCAGAACTGCTCTCACCCGGGGGGGTTCCCTTGGCCTGTCGGCCTGCACGTCGAGACTCCTGAAACTGCAGGAACTCGGCGTAATCCTCTTCCCCCATCACAGCCAGCAGCCGGGCAGTCTTATCAGCTTCTGCCCTTGCCTTTTCCAAGGCTGTCTCCTGCCTTTGCACAGCAGCATAAACCTCCTTCCTCTCCAGAGGAATAGGTTCTGCCAGCTCCCTTGCTAAACCGAGATACACAACTTCGTCATGTCCAGCAGAATCTCTAATTTCTGCACATGTACGCAAGTGTGTTTTCACAGCAAGGTGATTGGGAGACACTGCATCGGCGATGTTACCTGGAACTGCTCTCTGAGTTCCTTGAGGTTCCTCCCTTGCCTTTCCAGGCTGCATCTGTGCCTTTTCAGGTTGTTCCTTTGCCTTTCCAGGCTTCTTCTTCTCCTTGGAAGATGTCGCCTCCTTGGGGACTCTTGTCTCCTCAACTGGAGGTGATGCCTTTCCAGGCTTTGGAGGGGCGAATCGAGCGGGGCGGGTAACTCCACTGTCACTTCCACTCGACTCATCAGCCCATCTGGCCGTCTGCCATGGCTGGGCCCTCTCAAGCTCAGCGAAAGCTTTTGCTTGCTGGGCCGGATCCAGTTCATCGGCCACTGGCTTAGCCTCAAGACGCTGTGCCTTTTGGCTGCCTCCTGCAGTGAAAAACCGCCTGATCTCAGCCTTGCGCTGGCGTTTGTGGGCTCTCTTCCACTCATATTTTTGCGGATTTAACTGCCGATCCCGCTCACGTCGCAAAGCTTTTAGCTCTCTGTGCTGGCTGGCTTTTCGCGCCTTTCGCTCGTCCAACTTCCTCGCACGAGCGAACCGATCTCGGTTTCGCATATGCCGTCTCTCTTTTTCCATTCTATGCACTTGCGCCCGCGTCGACATATCTCCCGGCAATGGGGAAGCGCATGATGAGAACGACAATTCTGAGATCTCCTCCCACCGCTCGTGGGGATCATTGGGATCCGGCCTTTCCGGGCTTCCCTCGCTCAGATCCCAAGGCTCGGGAATATGTCTGAGCGCGAAGGCCATTTTTTCTGGCCAATTCGGGTCCTCTCTGGTAATTTGATCTGCCATTCCAGGACCATACCACCTCTGGATTCTCACCAATCTCGCGGTGGTTAGCTTTTCTCCAAATCTTTTGGCGGCCATTTGCCAGCCTTCATCCAACTCGTCTACAAGATCACTGTGGAACTTAGTCCACATAGCACGGCATGGCGGTTGCCGGCTATCAGGAGTACCAGTGTCCGGAATGAATTCCACCACCCTGGCGCTCTCTCCCGGTCCCCACTCCGGTAATGCGGGTATGTTGCACGGCAGCGCGCAACAGGGGGTGAGAGAGAGCTACCGGTGCGGGCGCTCGAAGGCCATTAAGCCGGGACCCAGCACCGGACCCCAAGTACTACGTACTTGGGGCCACACCCGAGTAGAGGTGGCCAATCAAAGGTGCCATCCGGTCCGTTAAATCCGGTTCGTTAATTTTTATCAGCTGTCCGTTAAATTTCGTTAAAGAAAAAGGGAGAAAAATTCAGAAAAAACGAAAAAAATCCAAAAAAATCGAAAAAAAAACCAAAAAATCACAACAACTGCGGCTAGTTGAAAATCTAGTATGCATAGGTTCAAATAAAATACAAACATACTCTCTAATAGCGAATTCCATAAACTATAAGTATGAAAAAAACCCAAAAATCCCCAAAAAATCAAAAAATCTGCTAATTTTTGGTTAATTTTTGTCTTTTTTCGTTATTTTCCGTTAATTAACGGAAAATTAACGGAAATTAACCTCTGTCCGCTATTAACGGATCCGGGTGGCCACCTCTACACCCGAGCGCCGGTACCTGGGGGTACCCCAGGTACCGGTGGCCACCGCCCTAGTGCCGGTCTAAGCACTCTAACCCCTACACTATCGTAACTGTAGCCCTCTTGGGCCGGTTACTGTAGGGGAGTTGTCAATACCCCCGGGTACCGGTTAGTGCGGTACAGGGTCTCCAGGGGCTCCACTCATGACCTTTCGGCCTTTCTGGACTAGGTCCATATACAGCGCGAGCGCTTTCTGTGAGCGACTCGTCACTGCTTTGCTCTGGTTCACTAGGTGTCCTTATGTGCACCTGTGACCTGACCCTTGGCTCATGGGTCTCGACCTTCCGGCCTCCAATCTCCCCCATTTGCCCAACGGGCTGGATTTTCCGGCCTTTTTGCGAGTCTGTCCAAACTTTCAGCACCGTCTCACCTAGCGACGGGCTCTTCCGCTTTGGCCTCTGTTTGCCGACAATCTTCCAGTCGCCCTCCACTTCTGGAATCCTCGGCAACGGCTCAAATGGACCAGGGCCCTTTTCGGGCTGTTTTGCCTATTGAGCGATCTTCTCTTCCGCCTCTTGCGCCCGTAGTTTCTGCTTCAGCAGGCGATCGCTCAACTGGGCCACATGTTGTTCAGCGGAGGCCTTGGCCTCCTCGGCTTGGCGGCTCTGTTTTTTTGCCTTTCTCATGGTGACCTCGTTTTGGCGGGCTTCTTTCTTTGCCTTGTCCGCTTCGATTTCAAGGGTGAGGATCTTCTTGGCGGTCTCTTCATCCCGCTTCGCCCTCGCTTGTTGAGCTGCCGTGGTTGCCATTTTCTCCAGAAGCTCCATGATGCCCGGCGCCTGCAGCAGGGCCGCCACCGTGCCCGGTTCTGGCACCTCCTCTTCTGGGGCTTCTTCCGCCTTGGCCATCGGCTGGTCATCGCTTTCCGGCTCATCTTGTCGTGACGATGGGCCGGCTATGTCCTTCCGGACTTCTTCTTGTCCCTGCCCATTCCGGGCTGTAACGTCCTCACCGACCGAACTGGTCGGCGTCCCCTTCCGGGGTCTATCTTCCTCGCCCGACGATGCGGGCGTGCCCTTCCGGGCTTCTGGATCCGTTTCCTCAGCCTCCATGGAGGAGGCCCGGGAAGGGGCCCGGTGCTCTTGGCTCGCTCGCCCACCCAGGCGAAAGCGTGGTAGCCCACCCCAGGTGGCTCCGAAACCAAATGATACGTAAAGCATATGGGTGTGGGGTTCCTGCCCTCTTTGAGCCGCGGACCCACCTCGCTGGGCACCTAGGTCCTTACGGGGACCTAGGCGGGACCACCCCTCCTACTCCCGTATCCTAATACCTAGAATGGTTACCATGGGTTGAGGATAGTTATCTTGGGCAGGGCGTTCCCCACACCAAGGGCCATTAGTAGGGCGTCCCCCACATCAGGCTGGTGCGCGTAACAAAACCAAACCAAACCAAACCAAACCAAACCAAACCAAACCAAACCAAACCAAACCAAACCAAACCAAACCAAACCAAACCAAACCAAACCAAACCAAACCAAACCAAACCAAACCAAACCAAACCAAACCAAACCAAACCAAACCAAACCACAAAATGAGTCGCTGGTTTCCCCCTCCATATGTATTGGGGAGACTGCACACGGAAAGGAATCTTGTAAGCGCCTAATCAGGAGGGGGTGCCCCTCGTATGACCTGTTTCCCTTTCTCTTTGTGGCAAATCTTGCCCACCTTGGGTTGTGGTGTTGTTGCGCGAAGTTGTACTGTGAGATTGTGGTGGTAGCGGGGTGACACATGGGCGGCCCTTGGCGTGGGTGTGATGCATTCTGATGGGTCACGTATTGCGGGTATAGCACGGACGGTGACATGCACAGTTTTTGGTAATAACATGACATGTAGCACTATTAGATGAAGGCATTTTTGTGATGCCAACTACAAAGTGTTCGCAACACTACATAATAACCACCGTCTCACCGGGTGGATCATTTATGCATTATGGTGTGTGACTTGTACATATTTGTGCATTACCACTGAGTGTATGGGCACCTTTGACACATGTTTTATAAAGTAGGTTGCATTAATACAATATTGCGGCGATGCGTAGGCATATCTGAAGTGTTGTATAGTTGGCTGTTGATGGATGATGGTCCTTGCCATGTTAAAAGAAGAGTTCTGTGGGTGCTAGAAAATTCGAGTTGTTCGGCTGTGGGGGTCGTTGCCACCGTCCACAAGGCTCTTCGTTGTGGGAAGGGTGAACAAATACATAAGCCCTGGGCGTTTTGCTTGCGGCGTGGCCTTGTGTCTGGCCATGTGCCAACCCATTGAGGCAATGACGATCGTGGATTCGCGCTCCAAAGGGGGCCGTTTGAATCGCATCAACGGCCATCTCCTTCAAGAGAAGCCATTTGACACAAATTGATGCCATGGCACCTACTTTACGCCATCGCAGTCATAGTGATGGCGCCATTTTGTTGCCAAAACTGCATTGCAATCAACATCGAAGACATGGTGTTTTCTGATAGTGCAGGAAATCTCCTTCTCCTTTGCCCACCATGGGTCATAGCCGCCGACCAGCTGAACCACCGCCACGCCTCCTGCGAACCTGCCGCTGACTCAAACGCGACCCCCCCATCGACCCAGCTTCCCCGCGGGACCCCCGGGCCCAGGGCCCCACACCGCTCCCCCCGTCCCGTCCCATCGCCACGCGCCGGTTCGGCCACCCAACGCGCCGATCGCCGCGCTCTGCTGCCCCAAAACCACAGTCCACGACTCCTTTCCCCCGCCACAGAAAACAACCCGCACCTTTGCCCCTCTGGCCCCGGGCAGGCCGCCGTCGATCGGCGGAGTCGATCGATTTCGGTTGATATCGATCGGTGATGCCGCCGAGCGGGTCGGCCGCCCGATTGGCGATCGCATGCCTGCTGCTGGCCGGCGCTGGATGGGCGAAGGATGCGCCCCAGGTGCCGATCGGCGCCGGAGGCAGCGGTGGGGATGAGAGGAACGGGACCAAGGGGTCGAGCACGGTGGGGGGGAAGATCGGGGAGACCGTGGAGGGGGCGCTCAAGGAAGAATTTCGGGAGGAGGTGGAGGAGGCGGAGAGGGACAGAGGGCGGAACTTCAACGAGACGGCGCACAAATCGGACGTGAGTGTGTGTGTCGAAATGCGTGTTGAGGATCCCGAAGCACAGGTCATATGGTGGAGTCGCATGACGGAGTCGAGCACCCCTTCCTAGGCGGGAATGCGGTGGGCCCTGTTGCGCTTCTCGGCGCTGTGGGGGGCGCCGTAGACAAGAGTGTGCCTGGGTGTGGGGGTGGGAACTTCCTCGAAGTGGGAAGAGGGGGGAGAATTTGCGTGAGTGGTTCGGAGGGGAGGGGGGGGTGCTGAGGGTTGTGGCGGGGTGGAGGGAGGGGGGACGGCATTGAGTTTTCCCCACGGTTTCAAAAGTCTGTGGCCGGCTCGGACGGGCGGATTGGATGGAGCGAATGGACTCCAGAGCGCGTGTTTCAAAGGGCGATTTGGAGGGGTGGTCACTTGGCAGGCGCGCCTTTTTTCATCCTTATCATCTTGCAAAGATGGGGGGCTGCTCCTATTAACCTCGCGCAAAGGCCTCCACCTGCGCTTGCCCCTGTCTCCTCCATGATCCATAACCGTCGAGGGACGTCTCCTGCGCGTTGGACGCCATTGGAGTGAACGGGGCCAGTTGGCCAGTTGCTCGTAACCTGCTTGAACTGCAGGGGTGGCTTGTCAATACTACTCGGCTTTTTGTTGCTTGGGGACGTGGGGTGATGTTTTGCCTAGAAGCATGACCTCCACGCACAGGAATGGAAAACATGGCACTGCCCTGAGCGTCCAAGCCAGTGACGGGCACCGCTGCCCCTCGCAGGTGTAGGCTTCTGCAGCATTTGGAATTCTGTGCCATCTTGTGGTGCAGGACCTTGGGGCGATCTTTTGCAAAGCATCGTGGGCAGCGTTGCAGAGAAACGTCTTTGTGGAGGGGGGAAAGTTTGCCTGATGGTATGAATTCAATAGAGGCATGCAACATATGACCCATGTGCCCTTTTCACACTGTTGGAGTGAATGCGTATTCAGAATTCGCACCTGGCACTGAGCAGCCACCATGGGGATTGTTGCCATGCCATGATCTGTTGTTGCCTATGGGGCTATCATCATGGATCAGGAAGTGCCCACCGGTGGCAGTCTGTTTTCACAATTCCAGGGCATGATGGAGACAACTGCTGTCCCAGAAGCAGGCTGCGGGCCATGCAGTTGTGGGGCACCCCTCTTGACCAAGTGGTGATGTAGCCCCTGAACAACACTAATTGACACACAGTGCTGGCCCCTCTGTGCAGTGGATGAACACCTGCTCGGGGTTGGTGACGAATCCCAGCCAGTACATGGGCTTTTTCCCTAACTTGCCTTTTCATCCCTGTTCACCAGGCCCAGCTTGAAACTGTGGTCAAGGTTCCCAGGCACAAGGCCAAGGTGTCCAACGACAGCCTTGGGGTGGGCTCCGATGGCTCCCAGCACCCGTTGGCTGAGTCCGGGACCAACAGTGCTGCAGAGTCCTCAGATGGCAATGAGAACGATGTGGATCGGATCATCGACTCACAGGACAATGTCTTCATCCTGTCGACTCCACAGTGAGTGATGAACTACCTTCCCCAAGTTTGCCTTTGAACACAGAGTAGGGCCCTTGCACCTTCCATCACAGTGAGGGGCAGTTTTGGGGCTTGTTGGTGAAATCTTGCTGGAGTGAATTTGATAGGGAGTGATGCAGGACTGTTCCTGCTTGTATGGGAGGGTGCCAAGGTCTTGTAGAGCATCTTGGAAGTGCCCTTGCATCGATCTAGGATCCATTGATTCAAGATACCACATTCCATCAGATGGACAGCACAATCCTGAACAGAACGATGGAGAGGTTTTACTCAACGCTGCGAAAGATGATGCAAAAGCATCGAAGGCAAGATGCTGTGCAACATACCTGCTGTGTATCAACCTGACTTGAGGTCGTTTGCATTGAGAACCAAGGCCAAAAACTTTTGGGAATCGTGGCACCAGGCAGGATGCATAAGGGGAATCATGTTCAGAGATGATCTTCAGGGCAAACTTTAAGGCACACTTCAAGCAACATCGACATGATGTTGTCGGTGTTGTCAATGGACAGCATGTTGTGCGGGACCCTTCCTGAGACGTGTGGCAGATTTGTTCTGCACAGGAAAGCAGAGTTTTCTGTTCTAAAACCTCGAGATCGTCCACTGTTATTGAGTATCAAATATGCAATATATCATGCCGAAATGTTGAGCATCACAATATTGAAGTACTGAGCACAGCAGTGTTGTGTACTAAAGTATTGAGTGTAGTACCCTCTTTGGCCATAAGCATGCTCGGTGACACAGAGGATTGGGACCAAATTGCATCACGCATCCATCACAAGCTGATAGGTTCCCAGTGTGTCCACAGCCTTTGATGAATTCACCCATCTAACCACAACTGTCGATGTATGACGAAATCAGCCCTTGCACCTTTATTATCCCTTCATTACACATAGTTGCCCTTAATTTCCCTTACGTGATTTTAAATCAAATTTACTCATTTGTTTCACTCTGATCAGAATGTACATACATTGGTCAAAGCATGACAAACCAGTGTACTTGCAGCCATCAGGCAGTGAAGGGTCTCTGTGTGAGGCCGCTCTACATGCACAATTGGAATGTATTCGGCAGCAAGAGAGCGCACGTGTAACGACAGCAGTTGGCTGTGCATACTAGAAACACACCTTGCGCTCACGGCCTTGAGCCCCATCAGCACTGCGGATCAAGTAGCTTAGCAAAACAGGTGGTGGCGAGATTCCAAAGTACATTATTGTGCGAACACAATTATTAACTAATATTAATAAACGTTATTAATCATACAATATACTTATATTAACATTAACTAATGTTAGGTAATATTATTAGTTAACGTGTGGGAACTGCGTTCAGGCAATGTGAAAGCTGAAAAGGGTTCTGAGCCCCATGTGGTCTGTTCGCCGGCAGGTTCTTCGCCGCCTTGACTCTGGACCCTCGCCTCATCAAGGACCTAACGATATTGATAACCACCGCAGCTGTGAGTTGGAATTGCGGGAAAACGTATTGCCCAAATTACATTGAAATGCGTACGAGAAATAACATTTACCTCATTTGAGTGCGGCGAATTCCATTCCAATTGCCTGGTAGTGTAGTTCTATTTCACCAGGCTTCTCTAACGTTCTATTCTCCAAGCTGACGGCTGCACGACTCATCCAGGTGGATGATGTACCAATGAAGCGTGTAAGTTTGTCACAGTTTGTTTTGATACTGAGGCAACGCTGGCGTGACCCTAATGCCGAAGTGTGGGCGCTTTTAGGTCACTGGAATGCTGTTTGAGGCCGTGGGCCAGCCTGTTATCAACGGCTACCTTATTGCGGGTGCCATGGTGGGCCCAGGGGGCCTTGCGCTGATCAAGGTGAGTACAACGGGATCTGCATTTGGCAAACAACGTTTCGGCCGCCGTTTTGCCAGAAGTCGGCAGAGCACTATAGATGTGCCTTCAAGGAAGGGGCGTTCATTGTGGAGATTTTGTACTTAAGGAGCAATGTCGAGTCAATTAAAGTATGATAATTAATAAAATTGGGGAGTTTCTGGTGGGCACTTTCCAGCAAATGAACGCTGCTTGAACAGCGCTCATCATCCGCCAGATGGAAGGTGTACCAAGTGTACCATTGTTGCCGGTGAGCGGGATGAAAGCACAATATGTATTATTATGTATGTATGTTATACATGCATATATACGGCAGCACAATATATATTATTATTTTCTGCCCTACATTTGGTGCAAGTTTTGCTGCATGCTGTCCAGTTTTCGACAAGGGCCTGGAAGATTCGGGCTCGTGTGAAGCAATGCAATCCACGTCTGCCGACAATTGACCAGAGAATCCCCAGTTTACGTCCAATCACCTGATTGAGTCTGTCCTGGAAAACAGCCAAGCACGGGCAACGACCTGACTGTTGACAATGCAAATAGCGTTGGTATGTGCCGTGATGGCTGAATGTCCAACAGAGTGATCCGAAAACTCAAAGGCAACGAATGATTGATGAACTCGCCTGCAAAAGAAGCGAAGGAGAAAGCAAAAATGGCGGTGGAGAAAGGGCGTTAAGGTTTAAAATGGTCTAATGATCAGAACTTTACAGTATTTTATTTTGCCACTTTTTCCTGAAATAGTATTGAGACAGACGGACGTGACCCTCGCATGTGCTTGTCATGCAGGAACTTGTTCAAGTGGAGTCCTTGTCCCAGCTTGGCGTCCAATTCCTTTTGTTTTATCTGGGAATGGAATTTTCTTTTGCCAAGATGAGGGTCGTGGGAGGCGTGGCGTTGATAGGTGAACGAGGGGAGAGGGGGGCTGGGGGGGGGGGGGGGCTTGGATGCTGACACATTTCTTTCATAACGTCGTTTGTATTTTGCAGGCGGCTTGATCGAGGTTTCCATCATTGTGGCCGCCGCGGCCTCCCTGGCCACCGGCTTCTGGGGGACCCTGGCCAAGGGCATCTTATACTTCTCACACGTGATATGATATCTATTTCATGCACTACGCATGCCCCACACGCATTGTGTCTTCTATGTGGTATATTTCTCGCGCTTGACAAATATACGTTTGCTGCTGCAGGCGGCGTGATCGAGGGGTTCATCTTTGTGGGCGCGGCCGCCTCTCTGGCCACCGCATTTGGGGGCCCTCTGGCCCAGGGCATCTTCCTGGGCGCCCTCATCTCCATGTCCTCCACTTCCGTCGTTGTCAAGGTCCTTGAGGCCGGCCGGGCCACGGCCAGCCAGCACGGGCAGATCACCATCGGAACGCTCATCCTGCAGGTGGCATTTATGGCTTCATTTTCCAAGTCGAAAGTCACACGGAGGATGGGCATTTTTTCAATTGTTTGTGGTAGATTTGCATATTAATATTCGTATTTTATAGTGTTTATTGTAATATTTGTGCCATTTGTGTTATCTATATCATGTCCATACCTTGTTTGCAGCAAGTCTAAGCAGAACGTACTACGAATGGCGAGGTCTGTGGGTGGAAGCGGGCCCCCTGGAAGGGTGAAGGCCAAGGGCCTCGGGCCGTTGAGAACCCGAGCGAATTTCGGGGACAGAAAACGAAAGTGAGAAACAAAACAGAATAAAGGCAAACTGTGCTCGAACAATTCACTGCTGTCAATTGCATAATCCATTTCACGCAGTTGCTCAGTTGCTCTGCAAGAATACCGCAGCATCGAATATTGTCATAATGCACTGCCTGGTAGGACAGTTTTCTGATGTCGGACGTGTCTCCCGTCCTGCAGGACTGCACGGTGGGGGTAATGTTTGCGATGATGCCCATCCTGAGCGGCAAGCACGGAGCAGGTGGGGAGTTACGCATGTGTGTAACATGGGTAACATGTGCAACATGCATGCGCTGCGCAGACATTGGCGCTCTCCTTCTCACTTCTCAACCATATTAACTGCCGCCCGTGCTCCCTTTCTTCCTTTGAATTTCCATTCCGCCTGTCCTATTCTTCATTTCTTCTGCCTAGCCAACATGTTGGCCTTTGCTCTACATATTCACACATATCAATTGCAATTTTTGTCAATGCATTTCATGCTCCATGTTACGTGTTTCTGTTGAGTTCCGCATCTTCTTCCATACTGCATTGTGGAACCCCCGTCCGCCGTTCTGAAGGCTGGCTCCACGGCCCGGGTCGAGAAAACGCGGCGAAACCACACCTCATTGTACACCCAAACCGCGCCGTAACCTCCCTCGGTTCAACTGTAATTGTTGAAATATCTGAAAATGACTGAAATCCGATAATTGCTTCAGAATACCTGCACGCAATAATCAATTGCTATTGAAAATGATAATTAATCAATAGACGAGAGCCGCTTCTGGCGCCCTTTACTGATGACGCTGTGCTGTGGGTTTCTGTCAAGATGATGTGCAGACGGCGATGGCGATCGCCGGCGTGTTGGCGAAGCCGGGATTTTCCGTGGCCATGGCCGTTCTTCTCGCAAGGACAGTGCTGCCGCATGTGGTGCGGCTGCTCACAAGGTGGATCCACGGGACCAGCTGGAAATTTCCCTCCGCTTCAACTTCTTTCCAGCTTCTTTAACATTTTGTTTCTGTCTTTGTTTCCAGAAAAGGTGCATTCCTTGCACCTGTTCTCTCCTCTTCGCAACACGGCGGCCAGCACGCTGGCGCTGTGTCTGAGTTGCGGCACCCTGTGGGGCAAAGGCGCCACCGTCGCTGGTACCTCACGAACACGTACAAGGCACCGCTCCCTATCATTTATTCATTAATATGTTTATTTGTTCAATCCATTTGTTTATTTGCTATTTTTCAGCTTATTTCTGGGTTCACTGTACACATTCTGCTCCAGCGTCTTTGTTTGATGGACTCTTCTGTTCGCTGTTTGTCCGCCCAGGCACGCCAGCCCGGACCTGTTCCAGGTGGTGCTCATCGCCTTGTGCCTCATGTCCGCATGGACCACCGGCTGGCTGGGACTGTCGGAAGAGCTGGGTGCATTCATGGCGGGCGCCATGCTCTCGAGGTCAGGGCCCCCAAAGCAAGGCTGACGCCCCGCGCCCAGCAACATTTCAACAGTCAAAATAAATGAAACGGTCAATTTAAATCAGATTATCACGAGTAGACGCGATCGTGGATGCACTGCAATTTTGCCGGGCTGATCAGCATTGATGCTGTGCTGCTGCCGTTGTGTTTGCGTCCAATTCTTGTGCTTGGATTGCCTTTTCTGGCATTTTTGTTGCCTGGAGCGCCGTTTCGACCGCACGTTGGGCGCCCTGCATGCATTGCACCGCCCCATTGCACGCAACGTGAATGGCAACCTGTGCTCGTTCAAACCGCGCCTGCCTCAGAATCCTTTGCAACCGTTTCTTGTCCGTCGATCGGCAGCAATAGCTCTGGTGACAGGCCCCTTGGACGTTTCTCCTGCTCAGTCCCGTTTTCCTACCCCTTCCTTCTATGCTATTTTTTTGGACCGCTGTCTTCTTGGCCAATGCATCCAACCACCCCGATGCGGCCCCTTCATGTTCCCACAGATATTTTTCTGTGTGGTTCAGACGCGTGCTTCTCTACCTCTTCCTTCATCCCATGTTGTCCATCCCGTTGTCCATCCTTTTCTTCATCCCATATTTCCATCCCATTCTTCCATCCCCTTGTCCATCTCACCTCTTATCCATATTTCATCCCACCCTTCATCCCGTTTCTTCTATCACAATTTTCCCATTCCAATTTTTGCACCCCACTTCTTTATCCCAACCTTTTTCCACCTCTTCTTTCCCCATTGTCGCTGACCACTGCAAGGCCATGCTGTGCTGCATGGGTGGCGCCCGTAACGTACTCGCTATGCATTTTTGCCTCCCGTTTACTTCATTTCATTGTTGTGATCCCATGTTTGTCTCAATTTCATCCCAGTTCTTATATCCCATTTTGGCATCCCATTCCTTACCCCAGTTTCTTGACACCGCTTCCAGTGTCGCCGACCACCGCGAGGCTGCCCTGCGCTCCGTGGACGGCGCCCGCAACGTCTTCACCACCCTCTTCCTCACCTCCATCGGCCTCGTCATGTCGCCCACCTTCCTGTGGGAGCACCTCTGGTTCCTGGCACTGGGACTGGCGGCCGTCTTCGCGTGCAAGGTGGCCATCGTGGCCGCAGTCGTGGCTGCGTTCCGATTCGACTTCAAGACGGCGCTCATGGTGCGTGATGCAACCCCTTGGGAAGCGGAACCTGCTAGAAAATGCGGCACGTTCTGCGCAGTTTCTGTTGCATTAATGTGTATATTCTGTTGCGCATATTCTCTACATATTTTGTTGGATTATGCGTGCATTAATGTGTGCATGAATGCGTGTTTCGAGATGCGTATGATGTATGTCAATGTTGCACAACAGGGCGCGATGCAGGACTGTTGGCAATGAGGGGGGCTGCCAGAAAATGTCACACATTCCCCATGTGTATATTTCGGTTTTACGATCGGTTGTGCTGATTAAGTATATGTTCGGCTTCAGTTGCCTTAATGTATGTACCCTATTGCATGTATTCTGCATGTATTCTGTTGCACTAATGTACGTGTTCGATATGCGTTCAATAAACGATGACGCTGTGCCACGGGGCGCGATGCAGCCGTGTTGGCAGTGGGGGACCCCGGCAGAAAGTGCCCCACATTCCACACGGTTTCTGCTGCCCTTGCATATACGATGTTCGATGCATACACGAAGCACGGTAATGTTGCGCATTTGTTAGAACGTTCTAATGCATTTTCGAAAGTCTTGACCGCCCTCTTGGTAAGAGACGCCGGGAAAGGGCGTGGCACAGTTTCTGTACAGTTTTCTGACCTTGTCTAATTTCGGTAAACACCAGCAGTAAACAACGGTTTCGCGATGCCAATTGCAACGCCATTTTGACACTATATGGCGCCATCATGGTGCTTGGGATGGCGCAAAAGCAGCTGCGATGGCACCATTGAGTGCAAATGGCGTCACAAGTGCCACGACCAAAACAATCTTTCCTGCTGGTGGAAGAAGTTCGCTGTGTTGTGGAAAGCGCCCCATTTTGTTCAATGTGTATATGACCATACTCACAGGAAAGCAGCAGACCGGAGGAATTTGATTATTCCTGTGTGGGGCCTTGCACGGGAACGTCCCTTCTGTACTGACGAAAAAGAGCCAGAGCAGCGAGGGGAGGGGAACAAAAGCGGCACCGTGTTTTGAAAATTAATGGACAAGTTAATCAGATGCACAGAGACACAGCACAAACAGCACTGCTGTTCTGGAAAAGATGCCTCGCCTGACAGCCACGCTGCCGCCACCATGTGGCAGTGCAACCCATGACGCCCCATTCCCCCATTCCGCACAGGGCGAGTCCTCAAGTGCCCCGGCTATCCCACGACCCCCTCATGCAATTTTGGGCCAAATTTGGCTCTGGAAAAGACGGTACTTGCTATGAAGTATAAGCTCAGCAGTTTGCACCACTTTCTTGGGCTACCACATTTTGCAGTATGTTTTTGGTAGTGCGATTTGCAGTACTTTTGCAGTAGATTTTTTTGCAGCTCGATTTCCTGAAAGTGTGTTGACGTCACTGGAGCCCTAAACCAGCGCCGTGGCCGCCAGGTGGGCCTCAACCTGGCCCAGATCAGCGAGTTCGCCTTCGTGCTGCTGTCGGTGGCCATCGACCTGGCGCTAATCGAGCAGGAGATGTACCTCATGCTCATCGGCGTAACGGCGCTGTCGCTGCTCATAACGCCCGCCATCCTGCCGGCGGCCCGCTGGTGGCTGTTTGGGCTAAATGCGGCCCCCGAAGATAAATTGGGCTCGGCTGATCCCCTTCGAGAAGAGGAGGTGAGGCAAGGAGATCGGGTTTGATGTGAGGGATGTCGATTGATCGTTTTGGCGCCCACTGATGATCAACCATCAACCTGTTTCAGAAACTCTGGCGTGAGCCTCAGTGCGTTACAGCGCCTGCTTGCACCACTTTTCGCTGAAGTATTTCAGCTAATGGCAATTGATTCTGATGAGCACTAATCAATTCTCATCGCCACTAGTTAATTCTAATTAGCTGCTAACCCGAATGTATAAAGTATAGTATACACAATATACATCGTACATCCAATAGCACATCCGAAAAATATATAGTATATACAGTATTCTAATTGACTGCTAATCCAAATTCGCTTGCGCGCGCCGCCCCTTCTTATTCCCCTGGCGGATTGGCGCCTGATCTTTCATCTGGGTGCGTGTGTTTTGTCTGTGTTCGCCGCAGTCAATATCTGAGCCTGGACTCGCGGAGGACGAGGAGTCGCTGTTCGGCTCCGGAAATCTACAAACCATCCAGAGGAGAAACAAGTCTGGGGTGGCCCAATTGCAAGAGTGACCCAAAAAGAGTGACCGGAGGCGATTGGCCGGAGAAGTGTGGAAAGAATGAGCTGGGCACGGGCTTGCGGTCCTGAGGTCGAGTTCCCTAGTACGTAGGGCCGCGCGTCAACCGCTCTGGTGCTTTAGAGCTGCACGTTTGATGGCTTTGGTTCTTTAGGTTGTGTATTCGATAGGCCCAGTACTTTCGAGCTGCATGCCTGACGGTCACGGCACTTTGGCGCTCCCTGATTTGTTTGAATCAATAATTAGTTAATGAGGCTGTCGCGCACGACAGCCAGACGCAGTCCTTTGCGATTTTGCCTCCTTTTTTGCAAAATTGATTTACAAATAGTTAATTTGTAAAATGTACTTTCGTCGATGGGACTTCCGGAATCGCGCGTAGCACATCATTGGCGCATCGTAGAGGCGCAGAGTCTGCGCAGAATCATTGGCGAAGCTGCGCAGAACCTGTGAAGAACTTCCCAGAAACTGCACGGAATCTGCAAGACACGACGTGGCGTCATGTGTGCGCCCCTGCAGGTTGGTCGATTTTAAATGCCGCCAATCAAAATTGATTGGAGATGCCTGAGGTCGTAACCTGCGCTCTCTCGCACATTTGGCGCCCATTTTGGTACCATTGCCATGCTGTGGTGGGCGACGCCAAGAGAGTGGGCTTTTTCGTTGAGAGTTCTCTTGTTTTGCTTCTACCTTCATTTCCTTTCTTTCCTTTCTTTCCTTTCTTTTCTTCTTTCCTTTTTTCTTTTCGTTGCTGAGCCTTCCGGCGGCCAACGCAGCGCAAGATGCAGAATCTTCACGTGGGCCTTCTTTGGCATTTCAATCCGCAGATGGTCCATGAGAAGATGGGCTTGATCATTTTGCTACATAACGTTGCATGTGGGCGATTTCGTGGCACTGAACCAGGCTGTGAACCACTGCCTTCAGCCGGCATCCTCGCTTTCTCTGTTTTATTCTGCGCAAGAAGTGATCAAGATGATCTTCCATATTTGACGCCGTATTGATCAGACCGTCGCCTGAGCCTCAGGGACCTTTTCTGCGTAGTCAGCAGCCTTTGCCGCCTCACGATCCATGGGGACGATCGAGCTGATTTGCGCCAGCGCCCATCCTTGACATGGTCGTCATCCCCTCCAAATCGACTCACATGCACGCTCGCGCCACAAGGTCTGACAGGCCGATACATATCAACATTGTTCCATTGAATTAGATTGTTCCGTTAAATATATTTAAAGCGCAAATTCGCAGGAACCATATTGCAAGGCCAAGACGGATCCACGCGCCCAGGCCATGCGTCCCAAATGTGGTGAGTGTCGTCCTGCGTGCGTGCGTGCGTGTGCTGAGTTAGCACTGCTGAAGCGGTCCCTGTACTTTGTGTTTTGAGGACAGGCTTTGCCATGTTCGGACGACGTCACCACACTGGCAGTGATATCGTCGATACCTGCGCAGCAGTGGAAAAAGGATGGATCTTTTTGTGGATGCCCATCGTGCAAAACTCGAATGTCATTCCATTTTCGCCGTTCCTGTTAAAATTATTCACATGGGTGTGGTGGCTCCCTCGGTTCTTTTCTCTTGTTTCCGTTCTGGGGGGCACCTCATTCTTGATACATTCTTGAAGGATTCTTGTTCTTGTACAGCAAACTGGCGACCCGACCATCACAAAGAAAGATAGACCAAAAGCCAGGAAACCCTGCGATAAATGCCAGTAACTATCTTGTTAATATATTTCCACCAGGACGACATTGGGTAGGCTGCGCCGAGATTGGAATCGGTCGCAGTTGTATTCAAACGGGTTTCTGGCCCTTTCTAGTACCTTGGGTCAGTCAACGTACGCAGTTTTCCAAGGTGCCGTCAGTTTGGCGCCCTTGGACTTGGCGGGCTTTGGCGGGGCTGAGCGGGGGCGGCTATTTAGGCTCCCCCCTTGGTCCCCCTCCTATCTTGTTTCGCACCCAGCCCTACCGCCCTAAAGAGTGGAGTTCGGTTGAGTTGAAGGAGAGCAAGGGAAGGTGTGGATGGAAGTACGGGAAAGGGGGCTGACTCAGGGTTCAGTCACGGGAGAAAGTGAAGTGAAGTATGGGCGAAACGAAAGGGCAAACTGTTAAGTACGGGGACCTCGGGTATGTGGAGTTATTGGTGACGGACACCTTTGTTGTAATGTGGCGTCGTGTGGGGAACATGACCGGGAGGGTTCAGGAGACCGGCCAGGTGGACCCCCCCCCCCCCCCCATCCCACAATAGTGGACAGCACCAAGGGGTCGCTAAACCGAAGCCACGCCTCCCCTACCTCCATAAATTAGGTCCTAAACCGTACTTTAGCCCCCCACCCCCCGCGCCCACGTCCGTCCCCAGATCCCACTTTTCTCTCAGTCATCTGGTCACGTGATCCGGGCTGGTCCGCCCGCGGGGACTGACCCGCGGGTCACCGGGTCGACGACCGGCGGTCAACGCCGGGCCCGATTACCAAAACCCAGCCGGGTGAAACCCGGCGCCCCAGGCCGCCCCAAGAACTCTCTCCCGCAGGCCTCTCTCGCGGGCAAGAGGGTCGTGCTTTGCGGCGCCGAGTGGAGAAAAGGGGGAAGGCAGCCATGAGCGGGTGCTGCTGCTGGCCGCCGCCGAAATGGTGCGGCGTGTTCGCTTTCCTGGGCAATTTCGCCACGCCCAAGATCGTGCTCATCAAGGACTGGCGACTGGTGCGTGCCCCCCCTCCTCCTTCCTTCTCCCCTTGGCTGCCAATCGGCGGGAATGCCTCTTGACGGATTTGAGGGGCGTCGTGGGCGGATAGCCTGTGGGCTGGACAATTTTTGGTGTCCGCGATCCGGCCGCGGTCGGGAGGATTGAAGGGGCCTGTGACGTGTCAGCCAGGCTGCTCGCACTGCCCGGCCGCAGCCAGGCCGCGGCGGCTGGCAGCTCATCCCCGCCGCCGCCAGAGCGCTGTCCGGCCCGCCTTTCTTGCCGCTCGAAAATCTCTTCCCGCCCCAAAATTCGAATTCGAATTCTGCCGTGGGGTCCGCGGCCCTAGCCAGGCGGAACCTCTGCATGGGGAGAATCGTGAGGCAGGCGCTTCACGGCGTTTCGTGCATCGCGAATTTCGCGCATTCGTCCCACTTGGACCTCCCCCTTTCCGCTGGCGGCTCTCGCGGGGCTATTCAGACCTCCGGTCGCAATCGTCGGATGGCCTTTCAGGACAATTTCCGCCGTCTCAGTGTTTTGCCCACGGCGTCGATTTTGGCGGGGTCGAGGTTTTTTCGAGCGCGGGGATGGGCCCGCGCACCCTTTTTCTGGCGGGCTGGTGCGCCCCGGGCCCGGCGGCGCCGGCGGTGCGCGCGTTGACCAAAGTCGACGGGCTTTGACCGGCGGCGCCCACGGGTCAGGAGGTGGGGGAGGTACATGGGGCGCAACCCCGGTGAAACTGATGCTCTGAGGCCCCGTTGGGTCAGTGTACATTAGGCACGTAGTACTTTGTAAGACAGCACCGCAAGCAGCACCTTTGTGCGCAACGTACTTTGTGCAGAAAGCTCTGCAAGCTGGTGTTTGTGCGCAAAGTACTGCTGTTGTTTGTGCTGTGTGCATTGGGCACGCAGTACTTTGGAGGAAAGCACCGCAAGCAGTGCTTTGTGCGCAACGCACTTCGTGCATAAAGTATTGCAAGCTGTTCTTTGAGCGCAAAGTACTGTCACGTGCGCTGTTTCCTGCTGAGCTGCAGCGAGCGTTGTGAAGCTGAGGCCCAGAGGTGAACGTGAGTTTTCTTGCTGATATGAACGCTGCGCCTAACTTCTTTACTCAGGACTGTGGGCGGTTTGGTGGTCTGTGTTGAGGGTTTCGCAGTGGGCTAAGTATTAAAGAGCTTACAGCTTCAGGACAAGAGAATGCATACTTGATGCCAACAGGGCACTGCCATGTCGAGACTGGCTAAGTATTCAAGAGCTCGCAGCTTCAGGGCAAAAGAATGCATACTTGATGTCAACAGGGCACTGCCATTTCTTGACTGTGTCCTTGTTTGTAACGCAGAGCAGGAAGTGATTGGTATGAATGTGTAGGGCAATTCCAGGAAATTTGTCTGCCACGTGTTTCATGTAAGAGGTGATTGTGTGCAACTAGTGGCTGTTGGTGACACGTTGATGCAGCTAGTTTGTAGGCAAGGTTCAAATCTACCGGTCCAGTTTGAAGCCCACATGCTTGTTTGCCCAACTCGTATATTTCTGTGTCCAACCAATGACTAGAGTCCCCTTTTTTTTTTCTTCCACAGTTTTTGCTTTGGCCTTTTGGATTGGCCCTTTGGCCTTTGATTCCTGAGTTGTTGACAATGGCATGTACCGTGGCTCAGGGCGGACTGCTGTGGGGCCTCAAGATCCTCATTGCGATTTACATTGTCTTCGATTTGTTCACGAAACAGGCCTACCTGGAACTGTTGGTGAGTCGATAAGCACCGGGTACTACGCTATAGTACTGGGTAAGCAGTAGGCTCCAGCAGATAGACAGGAAAGGGAATAGAGCCCAAGGTGCCTTTTTCTGCAAAAGGGCGAATGCAGATCGATGTATAGAAAACTCATAATTGGAATTTCAAGAATCGTGGAACATTAAAAACGCGCTGTACCTGGAAAAACACAACAGACATGTGACAGAACATGCTCGGAACTATCGGCAAGTGTGAAGCAGAGCTGAGGTTGGCCGCCACATTGCCCCTGTGGAGATCAACTCGTACGCTATGATTGAATTGGTTGCGGCAGAGCTGCGTTGACAGGGCCCACAGTCTTTGTAGTGCAGTACAGGGTTCAGTTCAAGCGAATACAGCTTTGCCAAGGTTTTGTGATGATCGTTTCAGCAACAGAGGATTCAATCATTCGGCTTGTTGCTTCAGCTCAGCTGACAGTCTTTCCATTTTGGATGGACCAGCACAAGATGCAAATCTGAAAACAGCCATCGCGAATTCTGGAGCACACCAATGCATAACATTATAGAACGAACAACATTCAGCTCCCACAGCCACAAGGGCAATGTGAACAGCTGCTGTGTGAGCGATGGAAAACACATGGATGGATGCCACGCATGAATGGATGCACACCCTGGAGATGTGTAATCCCATTTCTTGTCTTTTTTGCATTGTTCTTTTTCCTTTTATATCCTTTTTCCTTCAATTTTACAGTGCAGCTTCCAGCGGCAGCAAACATGATTCTGTCAGCAATCTTTTTGGCAGAATGTCCACTCCCCCTAAAAAAAGACGTCAGAGGGATCTGGATGCACAGAGGACCCAAGTCAATTGCGTTGTGTGCATTTGCCAACAGACGCCCACCGGCACCATCACGCCCCTCAACTCCAACAACAGCGGTGACCCGCTCTTCATCAAGCTTGGCAAGGTGATCTGGAGTGGAGATGCACCTGGTTGGAATTTGTTCCACACCGTTGGGAGCAAAAGCCAGTTTGCTGTAATGTGTTTGGCTGTAAACTGTTCAAAAAGAAGGTCTGAAAGTACGTCCGATCCATTGACTTCGTTTCATGGGTTTGGCGTTTGGTAGTGTGCTGCCTGTGGTGTTTGTAGCTTTTCTGTGCATAGTAACATTTCTTAACTGTTGACACTGCTGCTTCGAAAGAGTGCAAGCAAATTTGATGCCCAGGTTCCACTCTTTCTAGCGGACAAGATGCTGCCTTGGATGCCTCTTGCCGGATTCGCGTGCCAACCCAGCCTATTTTTTTGCTGGTCGCTGGAATGCATTTTGTTGTGGAACAGGGGTGACTTCAGCCATGACCAACAGATGGTTTCCTTGACATGTTTCAGTGCTTTTACTTTTGTGTGTGCTTTCCTGGAGTAGCACGGCTATGGTGTGTTGTGCGTTGTTTCTGCTTCCTGTTTTTTATTGTTGTTTTCTGTTGTTCTGTTTGTGTTTGATGAAGTCTCATACGGTTTTTCTGTTGCGGCACGCAGGAACTGTCGCCAGACACCCACCCATACTGCTTCGACCAGTCCAGATACTCTTTCGAATGGGGTGGTGGAGTTTATAAGGACTTCGAGTGAGCACCCCTTTGAATTCGATTTTGTAGTGGATTTTGGAAATTCAAACTAATTCAGCATAGCCTGTTGAAAATTGAGTGAAGAGGTAGAAAGGCAAAGAGCTGACAAATCACAGAGCAGCTTCTGTTCGCTCGCTTCTGGGAATGTCACTGGTCCTGCCCCCTCCTGTTTCATTCTTGCATCGCCCTCGCTTGTACTTTGCGACTGTACTTTGAACCTGTACTTTGCCAGTGCAGTGTGTGCTTCTTGGGGCACGTTTCTGTCTTTGCACTTCAAGGCTTTCCAATTGAAGTGTACAGACAGTTGTGCATATGGAGAACTGTAGTAACTAACATACACATGATGTCCGTATGATTGTAATGTGCACTGCTGAACAGACCCTTGAAATAGTATACGAAGTTTACGCAAGTGTGGTAAATGATTAAATAGAAGGTTTGTAAATGAAATTGCTCTTTGTCTGTCGTTCATTTTTGCACACTCTGTGGGGAACACACAGGTGCATTTGGGCGACCCCTGCTTCCATCGCCAGCAAGGGTGAAACTGAGGTGTGTGTGTTTCCAACCTATTCGCAACTACTGTGCAGCTATTGCACAATGAAGTACTGCTGACTTCCCGAATTCCTGCTGATTTTCACCAGTTTCCTGGCGACTTCCTTTCAACTCCCTGCTGGCTTAATTGTGACTGTCTTTGACGTCATGTGGAATCCCCATTCACTCTCTGGGGACCTGACACTGATTTTCATTACCCCGCCTTGCAGACCTTTTTCACCACGTACATGACACTGGACAAGACCTTCTTGGTGAAGCCCTTGAGTGATGGAAGCTGTCCTAGGCCCGGCACGGGGCAGGTACCGACTGGATTCGTTATGCACTAAAATAGTCTGGTGTATGACAATGTATTGCATGTGGGTTAGTGGATGTAGTATGCAAGTGTGGGAAACATTGTGTACAGATAACAGTGTTGTACATTGCCTGGCAGTTCCCATCATACACCACAGTTTGAGCGCAAAGTTGATTATGGTCTGAGGGGTACCTGTGTTGTGCTCCCCAAGCCCACCTAGCTTTTGTTGTTGCACAATTAACTATCGTCAATATAATGAATCAGTGATATACATCTGAATGTACAATATAGCAAGAAATTGCAGCTGTAGCCTGCTAATCCTGCTCCTGTGTACCCTCCATAAGCGACGCCAGGCGGAAAAGGAATCGACGCTGGAAACTCCGATGTAATGACCACAACACAATGGCTTTTTGCTTCTGCCACTTGCGATTGTTAGGCACACGTTGAATTACTCACACAGCTGTATTGGTCACACACTGGTGTTGGTCCTTCACTGATAACATTGGTGATGTCCTAGTGTTGCTCATGACTACTTTTGTTCTGAGCTTGTACTCTGGTACTGTAGGCTCACTACTTGTACTCCCATTTACAGTGTACTTCATGCTGTGTGCTTATACCCTGTGCTTTGTGCCTGCACTCTGTACTTTGCATTGTAGAGACACTTGTCTGCTCCTGTTGAACAGGTGCCAGAGGGCTCCGAGGAACTGGCGCAGACCACCGACGTGTGCGTCTATGAAAAGCTGGAACACATCTTCCCTGTGGAGCCAGAGTTTACCTCCATGGTGTGTTGACGATTCCCCCAGCTAGCGACAACATATCCTTGCATAGTGTTGTCGATTATGTTGTAGCTGATTGAAAATGTTAGCTGCACAGACAATATGCGGCAACATTTATTTGTAAGTTGAACGTTTTCGCCACACGTGCAAAATGTAGCACCTGTTGCTTGGAACGAAATGGTAGCATCGGCCATGTAAACAACCACATATGTGGCAGATTCACATGTGCTTGGTTATCCTGTGTCAAGGATTAATTTGATGGGTCAACTGCATGGTTGACCAGCTCACTAGCCTTTGCTAGCACTTGTCGCCACATCTTCAGACTCCAATTGGTCTGGCGTTTGTTATTGATCTCTGCTGATTTGTTGGCCTGTTGTTGATCGTTGATGGCTCCCCGACCTGTGCTGCGACAGAGCTTTCTGCACTCCTACAGCACCTTGTACCTGAAAGGCTCCAATCCAAAGACTTACATCCGCAATCCGAACTATGAGGACGGTGGAAAGATAGAGATCACAAGTGAGCACACAACAGCCTACTTGCAGCCTGGCCTGTTTCCAAAGGGAGCAAGGCGCATTCACCAAGACATGCGCTCAGATGTGTGAATTTGAACAGATCGGTTCACTGTGGTTGACCATCGATTGACCATGAACTGACACATTTTGCACTTTGTGGGGCGATTTCGAGCTGAGCACAGACAGGTTTCTGCATTGTTTGCTTATTTAACACATAGTTATTGAAATGGAACAATGAACTGGTGCGAACAACAAGACAATGGGACCATATGCAGAGACAAACTATGAAACAACATTGCAGATGAGTAGCAACCAGTTTGTACAGGCGATGAATAGCCACTTGTGTCTCCTGCCAACTGCCTTAATTGGAATAGCATGATGCTGGCGATCGTTTGGTGAGAAGACAAATTGGAATGGTAAGGAGACAAATTGGTGAGAAAGACAAAATTGGTGAGAAGACAAGAATGAATTTAAAACTGATGACCCATGCATGGCCCCCCTTGCACTGTGCCTCTTGCAGAGGGTAACGCCGTGGACAGAAACCTGACGACTTGGCTGAAAGTTGCTGGCATCGACCTCGATGCCACCCTCGACAAGCAGCCCTACAAGGGTGAGCTCAACCCCATCTTCAAGGGCAACAACAACACGTCCTACCCAAACGTGCGCCTCTCAGGCATCGTGATAGACGTCACGCTGAACTACTACCAGCGCAAGCTGGCGCCCGAGCCGTACAAGTCCACCCTGAAGGGCAAGTCGGACAGCGTGGTGTGCATCATCGACCTCGAGCCCAAGCTGAGGTGGTCGCTGAAGGGGGCAGACGTGAGGTACGCAGTCAGTTAGCTGATGGCACGTGTTTTGTTTCAGTGTAAACATCACAGTTCAGTGTCCGGGTGCCAGCACGTGCTGCTGACACAAGATATGCAAGCCTCATGCTGCCCAGCAAGAGTGTGCAAGGCAGTGTAATTCCATTAATTACATGCATGTCACAACAGTGCCAAAGCCTGTTCACCCAATGGTATGTGGGCACTGAATAGCATGTGAGCCTTCAGGCAATGAGATGTTGGCTCGTGTATTTTTCTGGCACTATGCTGACATTTCCTGCATTTTGCACTGAGAATTTAATGTGTCCTTAGGGACGATACAGTTTCAAGTTTGGTTCTCTTGGCAGTTGGCAGATGCTGAGCACTGGCCCTTTCACCCAACCCCAGGGAAAGCTGTGAACCCTTGTTTCTTTCCCTCACTGAGCTTCAGGATAGCACTGAATGATAATCACGCAAATGCTGTGGGGGTTAGTGGCCCCTCATCCTGGGATTTTCACTCACAACGCACGCCTCGATCAGGCGCACCCAAATTAAAGAATTGGAATAGATTAGCAAGTCTACTGCAGAAATTCAAAAATGAAATTGAATTAGAATGCTAGTCTTTGGCCCTACAGTTGCCTGTCAATGTGGTGCTGCCAAGCGCCCTTCTGACCCAACCAATGTGGCAAGCTTCCTCGCCTGGTGGGGAATCTTGCCACAATTTTCTTGGGGCCATGTGGTACGAGGTTTTGCACTTTGCAGTACCTTGTTGTACCACTTTTGTTCGAAAGGTGTCAGGAAAGTTCCTGAAGACTCCCTGCCCCAATTGTAGTTGGCCGGATCCCTGCCACACTGGTCATTGTGTGCAAGAAAAGAACCCCAGCCACAGCCGCCACAAGCCATGAATGATTGCATATGCTCTGTTGTGCACGTGAGCTTGACCTTATCAGCTTGCACTCCCACACGTCGTCAGTTGTCCCTTGCCCTCCCTCCCTGTCATTCCATTTGCAGATCGTCAGTTCTGGCCAGTGTGTTGCGCCATTTTTGTGGTGCACAAATTGTTTCGTTGGGGCTGTGCAGGTACATGATCACCAATGCTGAAGGGCCGATCTTCATGCACCCCAATGGCACCACGCAGGGTGCTCCAGGCGAGGTGGTGGCATCGGAGGTGAACTTCAAGAGGCAGGGGCTTCAGTTCAGGTTCAGCGTGGGAGGTGAGCGCCTGGCCGCCAGTTGCTGCCAACATCACTTTACTTTTGCTGGCAATCGGCATGCTGTTCGTTCAGCACTGTTGTTGCTGTTGGTCGCAGTTGCAGTCCCATTGTGCTGATGCGAATAAAAGCAGTTGTTGCATGCAAGGACACCTTTGCCTGTTTCTGATGTGAATGCGCAGGCTTCTCCAAGCAATTGTGGACACTGGATGTTGTGAATTTGTCTGTCATCAACAACAAATGCACAACGAAATGACTGGAATGTTCTACAGGTCAGATCGGCCGTTTCAGCACCCGTGCGCTGGTGACCGCCCTGGTGACCTACTCAGTCATGCTTTCCATCGCCCAGACGATCACCACCTTCACAGCACTGTATGGCCTCGGCATCAGCTCCGCCCTCTACAAGGAGTTCATCCTCGAGACAGTGCTGTGGCGCAAGGAGTATGCACGCTTCGCTGCGCAGGCGCTGGTGGCGGGCTACGCCTTCATGCGATACGACAAGGATGCGTCGTTCAAGCTTAGCAGGAAGGAGATCTTCAAGTGAGCGTCACGGGCCGAGGAACAGTTTGATTTTTGCACTGTTTTTGTATTTACTGGTGGGGTGGCATGGCAGGGGTTTGGGAGGGCCATGGTGGGGCTTAGCCAGGATGGTAGTGTCACTCGTTCGCCACCCCATTTTGACCGATGCTGGGCGATGTCGATGGATGGGCTGGGTGAATGCTGCGCTGGCTTTTGTTTCCCTTTGGAGCTTATCAGAACATTCCCTTCGCATTTGGCATTTCTTTGTGCTTGTTTTCCATTTTGTTTAGTGGCATCACTTCGAATTCCAGAAATGTTGCAGGGCTGGCCAGCTGCTCACCAGCTCTGGAGCTTGTGGGTTGTGCAAGCACTTGCAACGCCGTGACTTTGCCCATGGTTAGTGGATCTTGAAAGAGCCACGCAGCCTCCAAACAGGAATTGGGCCAGTGCTGTGCACCCAAGACGCAGCAAAGCATATCCTGTATGTTCATGTGGCATGTGTTTGGTGCCTGCAGCCAGCTGAAGATCTACTTTGGTGGAGACCTCAGTGAAGACAAGGTCGCTGCCATGGCTGATTTCTTGATGCGCCACGGAGAGGACGACGAGGATGATGAAGTGGGTGTTGTGCTGAAGTTCACCTCATCAATGAAGGAGTGTTCTGTTTCTGCATGTTTGACGTTGCTTTTGTCTGATTGTGCATCACTTTTTTATCTTTCCCTTTGAAAGGCACATTTGACAGTGTGTGGTGTCTGAAAGATGTGTTGCATGGGATTGGCACTGCATCATGTGCCTATGAGGTTTCCTTTCACATTCTCACATCTCGCCTGGACCCAGAAAAAGAAATCTTGGTGGCAACACAGCGCTTTCTGGCGCCCAAAATGAAGATACTGCCAACCTTTTGCAACACTTTGGGGGCCTTGTGTGAAACCCTGTCACTCCCTTCTGCACCTGATCCCCCTGTCGTCTCGCTCGCTCCTTCAGGAAAACACCAAGTACAGCACCATCAATGTGTTCGAGTGGATCGAGATCTTCACCGAGGGGAAGGTGTCTGTCAAGTCCTTGGAGCGCCTCATCGACCAGGAGTACAAGGATCCCAAAGTGCGGGAGGGCCTCGTCAGGCTGGCTATGCAGCCCTCGAAGATGGCAGCTCCACTGGAATCTGCTTCCGCCACCACGCCGCTGCTAGCAGGTGGCCTCCTTCTCTCCCCCTTTCACTATTACCTTGTTGCCATGCCTTTGTCTCCATTTCCTTGTCTGCATTATCTTGTTGCCATTTTGTCCATTTCCTTTTTGCCATTTCTGTTCATTTCCATCTCCCCATTTTGCTCTACATTCTACTTATTTCCGTTTCGCCTTGTCCTCTCTTCCGTGTGGTTCCATTTCTCCAATTTTTTCCATTTCTCCACGCTTCTGTTTCTCCTTTCCATCTTTGGATACGACTGCCACCGTGGCTGTGGCAGCAACCAGGCTTTAAATTTTGAATCCCGTATATGCAGAGCAGGAACAGGACTGAAACGTTGTTGGTGTGTGGAACAGGTGGATCTGCCGGAGATGACTATGGTGCTGGCGGAGGTGGCTATGGTGCTGGTGGAGGTGGCTATGGTGCTGGTGGCACAGACGAGGTGTGTGAACCCTTTGAGCCACGACTGCATTCTAACTGGAGTAGCGGTTTTTGGGTATGAGGGGCAACAATGTGCAACAAATTAATGTATTTGTACTCCTTACTGAGCCTGCGAGCGGCTGATTCTCATTCTCCCACACTTTCCAGCAGCCGGCTCCGAACGGAGTGCACCATCTGTTGGTGCATGTGAAGCAGAGTCAGGGCATTGTTTGGAATTCGTTGGTTGCCCCTGATCAGCTGATCACCGAATCAGTTTCGGCCATCGCAGCGAGAGGACACTAGTCAAACCTCGATCGCTTGTTCGGCTCGGAGAGTGACACGAGGCGCAAAGTCAATCTTGAAACTGAAGATGAGCAGAACTGTGCATCAGTAGGCCTGTAGACAAGTAGACCCCTTGAGAACGTGGCATGATTGCAAGTTCATTTTGGCACCACCTCCTTTCCATTGCGGCCTATTATTTTCCTGCCGTTTCTTGTTCTTTTCCCGGTGTCATATGCACCTCTCGTCTTTTTTACATCCTCAGTTTGCAAGACAGCTAATGTGTTGGACGCGGCCAACCCCGTCATCCAGTGCTGGTGATCTCGACACCAACAGAAATTGCATGTGCAGCCAATGTGTTGACGGCGAACACTTGCTGTGGTGCGTGTGCAGTCGAAGGGCGACGTCTCCTCGTATCCCGTCACTTAGGCGCACCTAAGGACTGGCAACCTTTGCACCGGCGGCAGCAATACCCAACCGTATGCAACCGTACGCAATCGTAGACAATGCTCACTTGGGGGTGCCGTTGGTGCTGCCGAGAAAACGAAGGCCGCGCATGCAGCGAACTACACAGGGTGACCTGAAACTGTACGTGGTGGCTCTGTCAGCGTGAATAATGGCGCAATGTAGCGCCGTGGCGCAATGTACTGTGGGGAAACGAAGCAAGCACTTGCAAGCAAGGAACTACAAGCTTTGGCGACGGATGCAGTGGGGGGACGCGTGGCGGCGGCAAGGAACGGCGTTCAATTTTTGGCGTCCGGGCCAGCGGCGGCCGCGGGATTTTTGGGACTTTCTCAATGACCCGACGTGGCGCTGGTGTTCCGTCGCCTTGGGGTGGGTGAGGGCGCTGTGCTCTCGGGCCGAGAGTCTCGGAGCTGTTGTGTGTGCATTCCAATTGGGCGGGCGTTTTCAAGGATTGTTGTCTGTACGTGACCTTATTCCCTTCTTTCGGTCTGTATTGTATTCATGGAAACACGCACGAGAGCCAATGCTCAACGGTGCAGGGGGTTTGGTAGTTGATGTGTATATTGCTGCCCACCGTTGTCCCTGCGAATCTCTTCTTGGAGTTTTGTGCAGTTCCAAGTTTCCACCACAGCCCCTTGCACCATTTGCTGCGACGCTGATCAGTCACAACCAGGCGCAAATGGTATATCTTTCTGTGAGATGTAGAGACTAATAGCCGGTGCAAGCCCGTATTCTGTGGCCATGTTTTAAATCTGTATTCTATGCCCATATTTTTCTCAACCGCGGGCATACTTTTTGAATGTATGCTTATTGACAGGTCTCGACAGTGGCTGCCTTCGTGCAGGTGTTGGGTCATTTTTTGTGACTGCGACAGCACTAAATCCAGAGCGCTGTCAGCGCTGTTGATACGTTATGCATCCAGAAATCGGGATGGAGTTGTAGCAACGTTGACGGGCGTCGCTGCAACGAGTTTGTTGATGAGTTGTTCCGTCGATGCAGCTGCAATGCCATCCACCAATGTCTTACGTGCCACAAGGGCCGTAGTCCTTAAGAACATGGTGATTGATGGGGTCTTGCGTCGTGCCCCGTTGGCATCAATGGCATCAGGGACGAAATGCCAGCGCAGCGTTGATGCATAAGGGAAGATAATGGGTGGGTGGGGGGTGGGGTGGGGTGGGGAAGGCGACCTGTGACGCTAAGAGATTATGTCATTGCAACAAAATCGACACAAGGTGGGAAGTCCCAGTTTTCAGCCCACCGAAATTTGTGCAACTCTGAGCGTTCTTCTGAAAAACCGCTGAAAATTATGTTTCACTGTTGGGTAATGTTTGTTGAGTCATCCTGGCATCGACATTACGATTGACGCGGAAGAGGGGCTAAGATGGCGTTACGAAGTATCGAGGCGACACCTTTGCCACCAATATTTCAGGCGCTATAGGAGGGAGACCCGGAACAACACACAAGGCCCAAAAACAGGAGATCGCGTTGTTGGTCCCTATATCGTGCTCAGTAGGGGGGCGTGGGTCTGAGCTTAGCGTCAAATTGATGCTAAGCGTAGCAGAATCGACATAACGAATAATACTATAATCCGACAATCTACTATAGATTAGTCCGGATAATATATTATTATATTATTAATCCGATATTATTATCCGGATAAGTGTCTTCCCTAACGACTTTTGCAATATTGATAAGCAGCGCAGCAGCAAACTCGTTGCAGTGACTTCCAATTTCCAGGTGTGGGCATCACATGCTAACACACGCCATTGACCGTACATGTGCATCCTTTATGTGTATATGTATTGTACATATACAACGTACATATACACACACACGTATGTGCATGTACACATGTACAGATGAGCATGGCAAGTGTCAGTCGGGGCCCATCTCAGCCCCCTCGCTCCCTGCATCGCCTTGACCCCAGTCTGCTTTCCCACGGGTGTGACAAAAGATCAAGGCATTTCTGCCTTACTGGTGTCGTTCAACCCCCCCCCCCTCCTCCCCCACCCCACCCCACCCCACCCCACCCCACACACGCACCATTCCTCTCATGACACGACATTGCATGCACAAATGTACTGGTGTCCATCACCTCACTAATAAAAGACCCAATTGGCGACCCACTTGAAATGCGCCCTCGCTTCACGTAGCACTTAATGCCACACCGGTGGTGACTCAACCCTGAGTCAGCTCCCTTTTCTCGTGCTCAACTCCCTCTCCATCCCACAACGAACCAAAACTCCATTAGGGTGGGCCGGGCAGGTGCGAAACAAGTTAAAGCGGGTGCCAAGGGTCACGCCCAAATAGCCGTTCCCACTTACCGCCAAACTTCCCTCCAAACCCAAGGGCCAGCTTGACCGGTTCCCCAGTCTATGGCCTAGTTAGAAGGATCACCCGGTTGCCCCTTGAATCCGGTCAGAACTGACCCCAAGTACAGGGGTTGTGTTCAGGACGCCATTTTATGAGGTATTAATAAGACTCAAAATACACAATAGACGGGTTAGTAAATGTGGTGGGAAGGCGCCCCATATGACAAGCAGGAAAAGGATTATCGAATGTCCCACTCACAAAAGCCATCATAGAAACCAAGCCAAGATACTTAGGGACGTCAATGACGGACCAAGGAAGCTTCAAGAGTTGCACATCGACAATCTGCAGTCACGCCACCGATCACGCACGATGTGCATACGGAAATGCCACGAATCGACACACCCACGTCACCACGACACGATTCAGGACCCGTCTGACGCCATAGAGTATGGCGAATGCGCGCCACCCCCTCCGCATGGACCCCCATGAGCTAGGAAGTTGCGTGAGTGCACTCCGACCAAGTCCAAAGCCACAGGATTGTTGGCAGAGAATTTCTGTGCCGATCCATTAGGGCAGAATGCAACCATCTAGGTGCGTTGACCACCCATGACCGATGGGCCACTCGGGGCTCCCATCGGGAGCGGCCGCAATCCCGATTCTCGAAATCCGCAAGGAAAATGACCCTGCAGGGTTGCAGACGGGCCGAAGCGCCACCATTATGCCAGAAGGAAACAGGGGAGGGCAGCGAGGACTATGAGAACACCATTCAAATCGTCCTTTGGGGGCGACATGCGGAATCACGTGGTGCGCATCGGCTTCCGTAGGGATGTGCAGGTATATTGCCTGTGTTGGAGCGCATCTGTCACCTCAGCAGCCTGTATCAGTCCTATGAGACGCACACTGGGACATTGGGAACCCACTAGGAGCGCAGAATATGGTGGGACAATGGTCAGACCACTAGGATGTTTGTATAGATCGCTATATGCATGAATTCTAATTAGCTTAAGGACACCAAAGTGTCAATATTATTAGCTCACAGAATACAATATGTTTGCCCTTTTCCTAGATAAGTTAGAGCTTTTTTCACAAGATGTTTCCAAAAACTCTGAGCACGATCTGGGCCCTACAGACCAAGATAATGCAGTTTTGGTCAATTTTTGTGATCTATGATGACGCAATTGAAACAAATTGATAGGGCTTTGGATGGGGGACTTATTCTATCGTGTAGTGGGATTAGTCTATTAATGGCTGGACAAGTTTGATGTGATTTGGCTCATTAACGAAGAAGTTACAAGGATTGGGGAAATCCCAAGGGCTGAGTGCATGCGGAGCATGTCCCACTCATATGGGCGATCGGAGCGTGCACGAATCGAGCCAGGTGGATGTGCGCCGGCTTCTCCAACCCCAAGATATCGACGGGGGATAGCTCGGGACCTTCCTTGGCTAACTATATGACTACTATAAGGAGTCGCGAAGGCCTGCCCAGGTTTGACGATCTCAATGCCAAGATCGTTGACTTGAGGACGATAATTATGCGCAAAAAGCATCTCTTGGGCGGAGATGAATACGTCATAAGGCGAGGGGTGAAAATCTGGGACGAGGTGCGGGTTGCGGCCAAGCGCATGCATGATGCATGCTTGACTGAATGGGTGAAGATTGAAGCGAGGGACGATGCTATTGAGGTCGCGGTTGAGCCTTTCAAAAGGTGACTAAGGCAATCGTTCATTGGGATGGAAACGTTCAGCATGGTGACATTGAGCTGGTGGCAAGTCAAGTGATAATGCAGTTCTAACATCATGTCAGACTACCTAGAGTGCGCACAGGACAAGAGTCGTTCAGTTCGCCCTTCACACGTTTGGCTCAATTGGTAGAGAGCCACAAAGTATTTCTAATGTGCACGGAATCGCGGTCAGGGGGTGAGACACAATCTTGCACAAGAATGATTGTTACACCAAAAGCCAAATGTAATCTACCCCCTTGGGACACGCCCCAAAAGGTGGTATAAAAAACCTAGTTTACCTGTCCAAGGTAAAAACAACAAAAAGGTCAAAATTATAAGGCAAAAACGTTCTGCCCAAGGTGCAAACACATCAATTTCTGCAATCGATGCTTACGATTCCACGTCGATCGACTGGTCACCAGGACGTTTTGGAGCATGACCCTCACATAGAATGCAGCGATTTGGGCAGCCAATCCGACAATTGGTGCCACAACGAAGATCCCACTCGATCCACAATGAAAAACAGGCAGGGAGACTTGCTGGGAGGATGGACATGCAGAAACAGGCAGGAAGACTCGCTGGGAGATGGACATGTAGAACTCATGCAAAAATCCAGTCACAATCAGTCGCCACGTACGACGACTTGCTGCATGATCGCAACCAAAGTTTGGTCATTTAATGACAGGCCTCAACACTTTGAGAAGATGCCTTAGGTAGTTTTGCTTATTGAAACTCTCAGCCAAAGAGCTGTTACAGCTGCTCAGCACCACCTCTTGGTCCACACACCAGCACCCATGCATTCCCGCCAACCTCGATTGAGGTAGCTCCCAAGCAGCCACCGTGCTTCAAATAACAAACGTGTCCAATATTGGACCTCGTTAACACCCATCATATCATTCCATGTCACTTCAAATCTTTCAAACATCCACCA